TTTTCCCCCATAAAACATATAAAAAGCATTAAAAGTGGGGCCGTGAAAACTCACAAGTTTGGCGAATATCTGTGTATTTCCTCTAGGGACTTGCTATGCTTGCTCGAACCTCCTGACAGACCAACCAGCGCTATATTAACTTAATGGTTTTCCTTGGCTAAGGTAGAGCAAAGTTGATCTAAATGCAAAGCCACCAAGTGTTTTTACAAAATAAAGCCGATTTAATTATTTATTAAAAAGGAACCTTCCAAAAATCCAAGTAATGACATCATTAAATGTCATCCCAAAACAAATGATGGCAACCGCCAATTACCAAAACCAAGAGATTTTGAGTGGRTTTAACACTCTTTTCAAGAGTAATCCACAATTCTTGAGCCACACGCCTTCAACACTGATTGCATGCAGCTTAAAATTTCCAAGAATTAAAAATCTAACACAAAACCATCATCAACAAACAACTTCCAGAAAATAAAGTAAGTTCCGATTTCAACAAGTTTTCAAAGGGATAAATCCGATTAGAGTTGCATGCAAGACCTATCATCCGAAAATGTGAYCAGACCTCTCATGCAAGGAATTTCTCTTTCTTTCTTGGAGATTTAAAGAACTTGGGTCACAGGTTATCGTCCCCAACGAAGACACAGGTGGGTCATTGATGAATAATCACTTCTTCTTTAAATCCCGAATATAGCCAAAAAGTCGAGTAGGGAGGAAGATAAAGATTTCAGACATCAAAAAGGGAAGTAAATAACTTTAAACATACCTTTTCTTGACTACAAATTAGTCTCAAGAATAGCGGAAATCTTGAGTTTTGCGTGAAGATGGAATCGGTTGGAAAGTGATGGAATTAGAGAGAGAGAGAGATGAAATGGCTGGAAATTTGGAAAGTGAAGAGCTTTCAAAAGGGAAGGGGGTATTTATATGTGGATTAAATAAAAAAAGAATGGGCTGACCTCTAAAAGGCCCAAGCCCAAATAAGACTTTTATTTAAAAGACCCCAATAAATACAATAAAACATTTTTTACAAAAGATTTAAAACACCATTCTTTAAATTAATTGGCAAATAAATATAAGATGGGACTTTGAAAACTTTAAATTTTTAAATAGGACGGAACTTAAAAATTATCGTCTTTATTTTATGTGAAATACTTCAAGACTATTTGGCATTGCGTAAATTAGCTTTGTTAGCTACCCGCCAAGATGCGATCTAACGAACTAATCTTAGGAATTAAACAAGATTATCTCTAATTATCGAAGCTAAATCCTGGAAAGACTTAGTTCTGAATAAAGATTTTGAAATAAAGTACTAACCAGAAATCCCACAATGCAGAGTTGTCACAGTCTCCCCAAGCCAGAAAAATTTCGTCCCGAAATTTAATTGTCAAGATTAAAGTTGTGGCTGTCCTTTAAAACAGGTGGGGATACTTGGTTTTCATGGAATCTTCCCTTTCCCATGTGTACTCAAGTCCATGCCTCGAGTTCCAATGAACTTTTACTATGGGGATTCTGTTACGCTTCAACTGCTTAACTTCCCTATCCAAGATCTCTATGGGTTTTTCAACAAAATAAATGCAGTTGATCGTTAACCTGCACATCTTCTAGTGTCATTACTTGAGTTTCATCTGTCAGGCATCTTTTGAGATTCGATACATGGAATGTATCATGAATAGTGCTTAACTCCGGGGGCAAATCTAGCTTATATGTCACTGGTCCAATTCTTTCTGCTATTACGAAAGGGCCAATATAACGAAGGCCCAACCTGCCTCTCTTTCCAAAACGCATCACTCCTTTCCATGGTGCAACCTTTAAGAAAACTTTATCGCCCTTTTGGAATTCTAATGGTCTCCTTCGATTGTCAGCATAGCTTTTCTGACGATCCCTTGCAGCCTTGAGTCGATTTTTGTTTACTACAATCTTATCAGTGGTCTCTTGGATAACGTCGGGTCCAGTTAACTGTTTATCGCCAATTTCTAACCAACACAATGGAGATCTGCACTTGCGTCCATTCAAAGCTTCATAAGGCGCACATTGTATGCTGGTATGGTAGCTGTTATTGTAGGCAAATTCCACTAATGGAAGATGTGTGTCCCAACTTCCACCAAAATCTATAACACAGGCTCGTAACATGTCTTCCAGGGTTTGTATTGTTCTTTCGGTTTGTCCATCTGTCTGAGGGTGATACGAAGTGCTTAGGTCCAGACGAGTACCCAACCCTTGCTGGAGTGACTGCCAAAACCTTGACGTAAAATGGCTGTCTCTATCTGATAGAATGGAGATAGGTACCCCATGTTTGGCGACAATTTCATTTATATATATCTGAGCTAACTTCTCCATCTTATAATCTTCTCGGACTAGCAAGAAATGAGCAGATTTTGTTAGTCGATCTACAATTACCCAAATGGCATCATGCCCTTTTCCTGATCAGGGTAACTTAGTTATGAAGTCCATCGATATCTGCTCCCATTTCCATTGAGGGATTTCGGGCTGTTGGAGTAGGCCAGAAGGTTTCTGGTGTTCAGCCTTGACTATTGCACAAGTTAAACACTTACTTATATACAGTGCAATATTTTTCTTCATTCCATGCCACCAGTAGTATGCTCTTAAATCCTTATACATTTTGTCTGCTCCTGGATGGATCGAATATTTTGATCGATGAGCTTCGTCCAAAATAGTTGGCCTAAGATTGCTAATCTTAGGTATCCAAACCCTGTTTCCTAAATAATAAGCTCCATCAGACTCTGTTTGAAATTTGGACTCCATATCATGCAAAATTTCATTCTTCAAGTTCTCCCTTCTTAAAGCTTCTTTTTGATCCTCTAGGATTTGGGCCTTCAAACTGGTATTCACCAAGATTCCCAAAGCTTGCACCCTTATTGGCTTTATACCTTCCTTCCGGCTCAAAGCATCGGCCACAACATTGGCTTTACCTGGATGGTATTTGATCTCACAATCATAATCACTAAGCAATTCAACCCATCTTCTTTGCCTCATATTCAACATTTTCTGATTGAGGATGTGTTGAAGGCTTTTATGATCAGTGTAGATGGTGCATTTTGTGCCATAGAGATAGTGCCTCCATATCTTCAGTGCAAATACCACTGCTCCCAACCCAAGGTCGTGCGTAGTATAATTCCTTTCATGCACTTTCAGTTGTCTCGAGGCATAGGCAATGACTTTATCTTTCTGCATCAATACACAACCTAACCCTTGATGCGAAGCAT